TCCATCCAGTCTTTTTCTTCTTCTTTTTCTTCCTTTTCCAACTTTTTTGCGCACTCCGCAGCACGTGTCATTTCTTCCTCGGCCTCGCTGTTTCTTCCGAGACTACGCAGAGCAATTGACATGTCGTGGTAGATGTGAATCAATTGATGATGTGTGTCTGATACTTCTTCTTGTAAATCAATTGCCTCCTTCAGATATTTAAGGGCACTATAAAGGAGAGCATAAGTAAATGTTAATCTGCTTCACTTTTACGTCTCATGAAGGAATCATTGATAAAGACGTATGGGAACAGCTTGTTAAGTATTCAGCATAGCTGTAATCCACCTAAAACGCAAATCCTAATAGAGGAGAATGACATCTTTCGTTTAAAAAATGGATATTTAAGGTAACGATATGCTTTATTTAGCATCTCAATCATTCAACGGAACACATTGTACTAAGCCACTTTCCTAACATGGCATCAGGCCTGAGGATAATGAATATAGGAATGATTAATGGGATATTTGGGCACTACTCATATATTACCTTGGGTAATCTTCTTTCGCGCTCAAAGCCACTCCCAAATCATGAAGAGACCTCGCGGTTTCCTGATGGTGCCCCAGCAGTTGCTTTCGCATTTCAACTGATTTACCAATATATTTAACAGCATTGTCGTAGTCACCCAAGGCGTGGTAACTGTTGCCAATCCAGTCGAGTGTTGTTGCCGTTAAAGGATGCTCTCGGAGGTTCTGTTCGTAGAGAGGAAGCACATAGCAGAGTCTTGTTTGGATAGCACACATGTGTTTCCTTTGCACCATCAGAGAAGCTGAAACGAAACACACGTAAATCAGAAGAAAAATTCAAAAAGGGCTCAACCTTGTCGGATTGACCTCGCTTTTAATAAATATATGTGTGGGTTTTTTTTTACCAAGATCTCTGAGATCGACCTACTCGTAAATTTCCTTTATGAAGCATCGTAAAGCTCATGCAAGGTCCTTTTTGGGATTCTAACTTAACTTGCTTATAATAAATAGGTAAGAAAGCCAACATGACTGATTGTAGTGCATCCTCACTGGAGAGTGTCCTTCCATGAAAATAAAATATAGGAGAGTAAGAAATGTACCATTTTTTCCCAACCAGCTATATCATTATAACACGCTCCTAACATGACTTTGTCCTGGGTCTCATCTGATTTTTTTTCTCTCTTTGTTCTTAATTCTATGGCCTCGTTAAGATAGCAATATCCTTCGTCAACGCGTCCCTCTCGAACACAACAGAATCCAAGCTTACTCAAGCAGTGGGCACGCGTAGCTTCATTCACGTCAGTAAGCACTGAGTGGATTTGCTTAGCACGTGCCAAAAATCTCTTCGCTTGATATAACGCTCTAGGGCAAATGTACGGTTTGCATGTGCAGCTTAAAACTATTTTTACTCCAATGTTTGTCAAGCAAGCGCTCAATAGATGCCTGTCATGTTGACATCGATAAGCAAACTTGCAAAAGAGGGAAACAAACTCTTGTTTTCGCATCATCTTTGCGAGAAATACGGCGGCTTCGTTGAAAGCAGTAACGCAGTGCTCCCTCACGGTTTGTTCAAGCTCAGGATGATCATTTCCACACCAAGCCATAGCCTCTCGAACGTTGTCCTTTTCACATCTGTAGCGATTAATTGCAGACTTCTTATCTGCACTCAAAAATCTTTTGCAAAGGGAAACAATCAAATCACTGTAGTGACGTAAGAAGACTGATTTAGCCTCTTTGTGTTCAGGCATTGATGAAAAAAAGTTTCTTATAAAAGGATGTAGAGAGTAAAGACAGTTATTTCTGTCAAAGTTTAGGAGGCTGCTTTGTTTCAAGCAACTTAGAGACATCTGCAGATCGCCTTCAACTGAAGACTTGAAGCAGGCGTCAAATTGTTCTTCCGTAAATCCGTTCGGAAATGTTGAGAACATTACAAATATCTTCTGGTTCTCGTCACTGAAGCGATTAAAACAGATCTGTAGACACTTGTAGATGCGTTCCTCACTCGCTAGAAAGTCAGGGCTCAGTAGTTTACGAAGAGTTTGAGGTGAACATGTGGTAAGTCTTTGGGTGAACCTCTCTGGATTTTCTCTTCTAAGAATTGAGCGAACAGTACAGATAATAAGAGGAATGCCGCCACAAACTCTAATCAGGTCATTGATCAAGCCTTCGTCTAGACTGTCGTCACACTTTTTGAACAAAGTAGCTGAATCATTGTCTTTCAGAGGCTCTAAATCAATCAGCTCAATAGGGAAAGACACACTGAAATCATAGAATTCTCTAGATGTTAGAACAAGATGAATTGTTGGGCATTCCCCTATGTCTTTTAGAAATGACAAGAATTCATCCTTTGTAAATTTTCCGCGCATTTTGGTGCAATAAGTTTTGGAGTTCAGCTCTTGCAGGTATTTATCCTTGCGAACTTGAGTCTCGAGGTGAAGTAAGTTGTCAATGTTTTCGATAAGAAGCACCGCTGACTTTGCTTTTAAGGCACGTATGCGACGAGTTGCCTCAGTGATAGTATCTTCGCTGGGAACAAAACCTAAAGCTGCGATGATATCGCTTGCCAAGTCTTCTACACAAGTGACACCTCTTGGACTAACATAAGCGATGAACTTTCCCTCGTTGATCAACCGATGGGCGACTTCTATTACCATAGAGGTTTTCCCATATCCAGGTGGCGCCACAATTTCAACCACCTTGTTTAAAGACAAGGCAGTTATGATCCTTTCGCAGGTTTCGTTACGGCCCACTAAATCTATTTGATCAGGCAATGTTCCACAGTGACCTGAATGTTCCCTTACGTCTGCAGCTACTGAAATGTAGAACAGTTTTTTGAGACTGGAATACTTAGGTAAAATAATCTTTTTCTACCTAACCATATCTATAGGGCACTAGATGTACAGCAAATCAGTCCTCTAATTCACAGCATTTCTCGCCAAAATCAGCTGTAGCCTAGTGCACGGTAGAGCTCAGGTAACCTTTTTTTTGGACAACTAGTGGAAAATCTCTCTGTAAGCAATGGCTAACACTGCGATGTTCATCCTAAATATTATGCTTTCTTTAACAATCTTATCAAGAAATTTCATTGTTACTACATTGGATCATGCACCCTACACAGTAAAATCAGTGTTTTCCACTTACCTTCCTTTGGAAGAGAAACCTTCTCCTTCAATTTGTAGCTGGTGGATAAATTCTGACCTGTGGGAT